ATCTGATCGCTCCCTGAAGCCCTTAGCCCCCAGCGAACCTCTCCAAGCACAGAGGGGACAATTACAGCATGGAAGAGCAAGTGCAACTAATTTGTTGTCCTTCCATCTCACCCCTGAACATGCTTTCTGTTCCTCTCGTGTTGCTGGGCCCTATGAAGGCCCATCATCTTACTTGGGCTGGGCCAAACGAAGGAGCTCTGTCATCTACACACAGTGTCACTTCTCTGCTCACCACCTTAGCCCCTGAGCAATTAAGAACACGGTGGCACCACTCTGCCTTTTGCCACACTAAAAACGGTGCATCTGTTCCTATCCTCTGTTTGCGAACGTGTCTCCTCCACCATTTGCGATGTGATTTCTCCGATACCGACACAGAAGCAGCACTGATCTGCCTATGTAGGTACTGGCAATGCTGAGCCAGGTCAGAACAAACATCAAAGCGGGCTTTACACCTCAGGATCTTGACTTGGCCACCGCTTGTCCCCATGCTAAAGCTGTGCTGTAGTGACTTCACAAAAATGCATTTGCGTGAGTGTTTCAAACATCCAGTCCTCAAGGACAGCACATCTTTCATCCTTGGAAGAGGGAAATAAGACAAGGGGCAATGGCTTTAAACTGAAAGAGGGGACATTTCGATGAGATCTAAGGAAGAAATTTTTTACATTGAGGGTGGTGAGACACTGGACCAGGTTGCCCAGAGAAATTGTAGATGCCCCATCCCTGGAAGTGTTCAAGGCCAGGTTCGATGAGGCTTTGAGCAACCTGGTGTAGTGGAGGGTGTCCCTGTCCATGGCAAGGGGGGTGGAACTAGATGATCTTTGAGGTCCATTCCAACCCAAACCATTCTATGATTCTATGTAGGAGCTGTGATCCCTGGAGATGTTTTATGCACCGGACTGCCATTCATAGGACTTAAACACTTTCAGGAGTGGGGTTGGTCAGCAGCTACACACCTTCCTCACATGCCTCAGCCCTCCCAGCCCATTCGTACAGACATGACTGCTGTCACCCAGTCTGAATACAGACTTAAAAACTGCTTTTGCAGCTTCAGTATCCACTTCTTCTGCTACTTCTATCTTGTAATGATCAATCAATATGTTAACCAGGTACGGTGTAGCAGCCTCACAGCCCCTATGATCAGTTCTATTGGGAAATACGCTGCTGAGGGTCACCGAAAGAACAAGTCTTGATTTGACCTGCTCTGTAAGCTGCGTTACAGCTACCACCAAGCATTTGTATAGCCTTTTCCTTAAATCTTCTTTCCTTAAATTCTTCTTCTCTGACTGTGGACAACATAGTCACAAAAAGGGCTTACCTAAAGGGCAGGTCCAAACCCTCCTGGCAACAAAAAGGGTCTTGAGAAAAATGTGATTTTGTGATAATACAAAAATCTAAATTTCTGTAAAACTTTCTTCAGTCTTTCAAGATGTTGTTTCATTGTTGTCCTACCTCTACATCAGATTCCTTTCCACCAGTTGTTACTAACAATTCAAACTATGTTTGACAGATGATATTGGAAGCTCAATGCTGATGGTTTAACCACCTAAAGAGAAGGTATCAGATCCAAATTCTGTGCCTTTATTACATCAAGAAAAATTTGGTTTTAAACCCTCCAAACCTATGAATTGTTTCTAAGGAGACCTAGAGGCTGAACCTGATATCAAAAAGATTTTTGTGGAGCTCAAAGATCAGCCTCAGTTCTTCAATGCCAACAGTTTGCAGCTGCTGGGTTTGTGCTGAGGCTTGTCTCTGCAGCCCTCAAGTAACAAGTTCTCCTTCAGACAACAGCACTTTTGCCATATGGGGCTCCTGTTTTGCAGTTGGACCATCTGTACTTGTAGAAAATAGTTTTATCCATGGACTTTATTCTCTCATCATCTATGTCATCAAATAGTATCAGGGTAGGTACTGTGATGGGAAGGGGTAGGAGTTCAGCAAAGCTGAAGCTACAAGACAGGTACAACACTGATGCTAGAGGAGCAGGAAGCTGCACTGGTCAGGCTTTGCCAGTGTAAGTGATTTTCTTTCCATGGGAATGAATAATTGGGTGGCTTTCTGTTGTTCTCTCTTATGAAATTAGTCATTCATGAAAATAACCATTTTTGGAGTGAGTTGAAAAACTTTCAAGTTCCCAGGGGAGACACGGATGCTGTTTTCTTTATTTTGCCTCCTATGATATCAGAAGGTGACATCGGCAGGTCAATACAATCGACAAGGAATTGGTCCCAGGACAGCTGCCCTTCCCAACACAACAGTGATCCTGTTTCTGTAATCCAATAAGGACTTCCCAACTGTTTCAATATCCCTGAACAACCAGTTCCCACAAACCTAATTCTCTAACTCGTTATTGCTCAAAGTACTTGACTATCATTATTTCTGGTTCCAATCAAGGACCAGTAATGAACTACATGCTTAAAAGCCACCTAGGTGATCATATCAGGTGTTTGTCTTGGAGAATGTGTGTATGAGTTGATGTCAGACAGCCGGTTGAGTGGATGGAAGAGGAGCTCTACTCCACGTGAGCTGAGGAGCTGTTCAGTGGACAGCAAAATACAGAAGTGAACCTAACAGTTGCTTTTTGTCTGCTCAGACGGAAATGGGAAGCCTGAATATAACTGTCCTGTGGGTGGGATACAGCCTTTAAATAATGAGGTTGATTAGCCTGAGTAAAATTACCCTGACTGTCTCTTGAGATCATCTCTAAACTCTCTTTTATTATTCATGCAATGATCCACAAATCCTGGGACATTTTTGTAAATTGAGTTGTCTGTGTCATTCCAGATCTTGTGCAACTGATCTACAAACACTCCTGAAACCTTTTGCAAGGTATTTGTCACCAAAAGCCTTGCAGGAAAGATCTTACCAAATAAACTACCATAGGGCAAATATTTGCTATGATCCATCTACGACTGAAACGACAGGAGAATCCTTTGTGGGATCTCACCCCCTGAATCCTGCTGTGCTGAGTGCGGATACTGAGTTTACCAGTATCTGGAGAGGTCAGAGTTTCAGCCTTGTGAAAATGGTTTGTCCAACATTGGAAGAAATAGTTTGTCCAGAGGGTGATTTCATTGCAGGTGGACGTTTGCTTGTTTTGTCTGACTAAAGGAGTCTTGTCTGCCAATGTAGGGGACACAGGTCTAGCCCCTGAGGCTGCTCTCCCTCCTTCTCATTTTACATGAAGTCCTTGGAAGAAGATGGGAACACAAAGTGAGATACAGAGAGAGGTTCTGGAGCTGAGCAGCTTGGCCAATCTAGGTGACAATTAAATGCCACTGCTTTGTTGTCACTCCACATGCCCAACCGAGACACCAAATGCAGAAACTGAAGAGAACTGGTACTGCCTGCCTCCAACACCTCTGGAGGTTTCCAAGTTTGTCCTGAGAGTGAAGTGCCACCAAGGCACGACTCCAGCTCCTTGTGGGGCCCTCACTGTCTGCATTGCTCAGAAGATCTGTGACTATAAGAACAAAGGAAGGAAGAGCTCTGACCTCTGTGTTGAATCAGTCTTGCCTATATTGCTTTATTCTAAACCAAGAACAACACAGAACTAGAATACTGACATGTACAAAGTTTTATCAGTTTTGTGACTACACCAAAGAAAATCCCAGATGACTGACTGACCCCGAGGAGACCCAGCACTGGCACCAGGCAGCCTGTCCTAATGGCCACTACTGTGACCACTGAGTTTCTCTTACAGAGTTTTCATCAAAATCTGCTGTCCCTCAGCTGAATTAATCTCCTTTCTAAGCTCATGGGGAAACCTGTCTGCTCTGTGCCACCAGAGACAGTCACACTTGGCAAGTGTTGCTGGAAAATCAGTCAGCCCAACCATCAAAATCATCCTTTCATATAAATCTAATTTCTGCAGCTCTTCTGATTTAACCTTCGGTGTTTGCTGAGACCTCTTACTGATTGCTCTGACCACCAGAGAAGAGATGAATGGATGAAATAAAACTACTTCAAGCCCACAGTACTCATCTGCTAGTACTGAAGCAACAGACATGAAAGCTGACATTGCTAACAGATCGTTTACAAGATCTAACCATCACTGTGGAAAAGAACCCTTCACTTTGCATTACTGAATGGGACATGTCTCAAAAAGCTGCATATTTTCTTTTTCACCTTCCCAAAGGCAGATGCTGGTATTGCAGCCATCTGTATTAAAAACTCTTGAAAAGCTCAGCATTGTCTACCTTGGAGAGAGCTTGCAAAAAAAAAAAGCAAAAATTAGATCAAAATATCAATGGCATTTAATCTACATCCAAAATCAGGCCTGTAGGTTCAGATCAGGACTCAAAGCTTTGTCTTAATCTAATTGTATCCAAACAATTCAGCGATAATGAACATTTATAAAATCCACATCCAGGAAATCAGAGGGGTTCCCAAGACCTGTAACGAGAGCTGGCATCACTGACTCTGCATATTAGCAAACCCGGGCGCTCAATAAATAAGTGGCTCCAGAGAGCACTTGACAAAGACAGAGCTCCTTCTGCACCCTAAAATGCTCTGAAATAGTTTGCCGAGTTGTGATAAGAGCTTCAAACATTTACCTGTTTTGGGATGCATAAAGAAATCGGCACCACTGTGGATGGCCTCTGCCTTTTTTACTGTGGTGTGCATGTTCTCATTGCTTATTTAAGTACATGGTAAGTTTTGAGTGGTAGTAAGAGAACTAGTCTAACAGCTCTTAAGGACAAAGCTCTTTCTTTATTCATGAAGGAAATAAAAGCATGGGAAAGCGTAGCACAACCTTCCCTCAGAGGACTCCCTACAACTACACACGCTACAGGAGGCTCAAAGAGCAAGAAAACCAGAACGACAGTGCCCAATAAAATCGATAGATAGCAGTAAGAAACAGTTGGAAAGCGGCTGCTTTGGACACACAGATGACACCGTGTCCCATCTCCCATCCCTTGTCCCATCTCTCCACCATTGCCAAGGCGATGGGCATCACGTAACCCAGGCGAATGGCAGGACTGTTTCCAAAGACACCGTACCTGAAGGATGACCCAGTGACCTTCCTTTGCAGCCAGATCTAGAGCTTGCTCAGCAACTACTTCTTGCCCTTGGCCAAGGGACACGTTGTGGAAATTCCTGTTGTTAAACGTATAACCGAGTTTCTTCCCTAAAAGAAGAAAAAGAGCGATGTTGAGCACTTTCACCCGGAGCAGCACGCGGCACAGCTGGGCTCAGGCAGCAGCAGCCAGGCAGAGATCAGGCTTATCAAAAACCCTCACAGCAGAGCTATCACACTTCTCATAATAGTTATCTCGTCTCTCACGCGCTCCTCGCCAAAGCGCTGAAAGCAGCAGCAGCTTCTTCCAAACTACTTTTAATTACAGAGCGGCATCAACAAACACAAAGGTACATTATTACAAAGTGCCTCTTGTTCGAAGAACATTATTCCCCTGCAACCTTGTGCAAAAACATACTTTACAGTGATAGGAAATTAAAATCATTTCCTGCTGATTAAACAGGCTCTGAGAAGACATCATTCGGGGGGGAAATGCACCCTGCGAGGGATGCTAGAACCAGCAGCAAGGTTAGGAACCCGTTCAGTTTTCAGAAGGCAGCTGAAATGAAATCTGTGTGAGCTTCCCATGGCCCCGACCGAGGCCTCTCAGGCTTCTTGGAGCGAGAGATCAGTCATCCCTCCAGATTTCTCATGGATCTTCATGGGCTTTATCAGGTGTGCAGATGCCTCTGGGTGCCCCACAATGTGTGTGGGAAGGCCTATGGTCAGTGGACTGTGGCAGAGCCCATGGGAAAGGGTGCACCAGGAGCCACTGCAGACCACCTCCTACAGTCCCTTCTACATCCCTCTCTGCTCAGGGCAGAGTGAGAACCCCAAAACTCATGTCATTTACTACGTTGTTCTGGAGGAAGGATGGCAGCTATTTAGTGTTTCTTCATTTAATCTGTGATACTCCTTTGAACTCCCGATTTCTCTGTAGCATCCTAGTGCCTCAGATCCTTTAAGTGATCATGGCTCAAGATTCCCTGTTTAGTTTTCTGAATCTGTGTGTCACCCAAAGATGGAGGACATCAGTAGCTCCTCATCTCACAGGAAAAGCAACTGCCTGGAGCAAGCTGTCTTTGCTGTGTGCTCCTCAGAAGAGGAGCACCGATTTGTGCTGCCGGAGGGACGCAGCCCGACAAACATCCACACTGGCTCCACGCGTCATAACAGGATACATTCGGCTCAGCCGGGGAGTTGGTACACGCATCCCGATGTGCTGATCCCTTGGGATTGCCCACATTGATCTTTGCGCGCAGGTTTGCCTTCATCCAGGCAGTGCACCCTTAATTCCTGATTTCTGTTAAAAGCAGGCAAGTTTCATAGTAAAACAAGGAAAAGATTTGTCTTGCAAGACTTAGGATTCAGCTCTCGGTACAAGATTGGAAACAGATGGTCATAAGTAAAACAAACATCCCAAATCTTCCCGTTGCTCCAGCTCTCTGCTTAGCCTTACTACAGTAACCCCCTTGGATACAGCTCTTCCCATGTCTGAGAGTTTCCAGTTTTCTTTCTCTTCATCTCTGGTGGCTGCCAGCTTTTGAGAGCTGCGAATCTGCTCCTCTGCCTTCAAGACCTGCCCTCTCAAGAAGGGATGGGGCAAATTTACAGGAGGCAGGGCGCTACGCCAAACCAGGTGAGTAATAGTAAAATCAATATCAGTTGTTATTTCCACTTTACAGACAGGAACTGGGCTGCAGAGGGACACACCATGAGCCTGCGCTGGTTGCCTCACCAAGAACAATGCCAGTCTTCCTCCTTGCTCGGAGGAGAAGAGGGGACGGTGCTGCCCTTAGCAGGGAGCTGGGGAAGCTTTCTGAGCCCAAGTGTTTGCTGCAGGGTCCTCCCTATGTTGCCAAGGAAAGGTCCCATGAGTGGGCAGCATCTGGAAGAAGACACCTTCCATTCACAAGAATTATTTAGCCAGACCTGCACTTTAATAAAACCCAATGAAGGGCAGAGAAAATATCAAATACTGGATCCAAAGCGAACCCCAGCGAGGCAGCTTTAAGGCTGCTGCAGCTGCACTGAAGCAATGGTTTTATTTCATTAGATTTTTTTTCACTTTTACTTGCTGTAACTTTTCTGGCTGACTAACCCCAGGAGCTCAACTACACACATCTTTACAATTCCAATTAAACCATTCATGGCTGGATTTTAGTGCTTCATTTCCCATACAAGAAAACAACGCAGTGAGAGACAGGATCACCGATGTGGCTCCAAAGGGAAGCCAGGCACAGGATAGGACCTTCCTCATGGGAGGCCCCTTAAGTTCACCATAATGAGACTTGATGTCAGGGCAGAAAGAGCACGAAACACAATGCAAAGTCCAGGAACTCCCCAGGATGAAGAATTATCATCTGGCCTGTGGCTCAGGCTGCACCGAGCTTTAACATCTCTGCAAGCTGCTTGTGGGTAAAGACTGACTCAAACATTATTTTGGGATGACCCAGAAGGTGCATCAGAGAGAGGGAAAGAAATCCTCAGGTCAGCATTCTGCCACCACTCGCCTGGATGATGGCTTACTTCAGCATTGCTGATTTCTCTGCTGGGGCTGCTAGCCTTGCTGATGTTGAGTCTGGAGACCTGCCTGCTAAAAACCACCCAGCAGCTCTACTATGGTATTAGGAATTACATTCCTGTCAGTCTTTAAGAGGCATTTGGATATTGCCCTTAATAACATGGTTTAACTTTTGGTCAACCCTGAAGTGGTCAGGCAGTTGGACTAGATAATTGTTGCAGGTCCCTTCCAACTGAAATATAATATTCTATTCTATTCTATTCTATTCTATTCTATTCTATTCTATTCTATTCTATTCTATTCTAATTCTATTCTGTTCTTTCTCAAACAGTTTAAATATACTATGTTCCACACTGCCAGGAGCATGGGAGCTTGACTGAAAGTCGTGGTCTTGGAGATATGTGTAGCGTATTGCTGGAGAAGGAGAAAAGACATCTGATGAGCATAATGGCAATCTGGAGCAGCCCTAAAGCAGTACCCAAATGTGTCTGACTCCTCTGCTCCAGGGGGATGGAGCCCCTCTTCTATAACAGTCTCAAAAGAAGCGACTGCAACTGCAGTGACCTCTGTTCGACAGTCGGAAGTGACCCCATTTCCAGATCTACTGTAACTGCCATGTTCAGGCTGCAAGTGGTAATTCTTCCCCAGTGGAGCTGAGACCCGTAGTAAATTCTGCACATTGGCAGCTTCAGAGCACAGGCACTGACTGCAGCAGTCGGTGCACAACAGAAAGCATCACTGCCTTCTCAAGCAAGGCACCTTAGAGAAACCCCTTTGGCTTTGAAGCCAGCCGACAGCACTGCCTCTGACCATCCACACCAAAACCAACTCAGGAAGGAGGAGATTAAAAACTGGAAGCTCTGCCACTAACCAGCAGAATGTTATAGGCGGCTGTTGCTTATTTTTAGCTATCTGACAGCATATTAGATATCTCTGACGTAAATTATAGGTTGTGTACAACACCAACTCAGAAATCGTTGCAGTGTGAACCACACGGGGAATCCAGGCAATGCAGGAAAGAGACAAGTTTAATTTAAACTTTAGATGAAAATCCAAAAACCTTTAATAAAGAAAAAAATAAAAGAAACAATCGCATCTTCTCACAATTATCTATTTTTAACAGATTACTCCATTATCTACAAAGCAGTGAGGAAGAAAATACATAACAAGAATGTCATGTCAAGATAATTATGCAGAAGATAAAAAGCAATGCCGTGCTATGCCTGCAGACATGATTTATTTACCTTGTTTCTCCACATCCTTCAATGGGTCGACTCCTGGGGACAGGATAAAAAACATCGGGGTTGCAGGTCCTGATTCCTCAAAGGTTGTTGCAAAATCCAGGGATCTCCCTCCCACATATTTACTGCCAAGCTTTTCTTCTACAAAATCTCTGCCAGAAAGAAAAATGTTTTGCCAGTCTACTATTGTTCACAAAAGACAGATTTCCCTGCAAATAATCAATTAATTAGTTTTCATTTTGCCAATTCAAACAAATTAGAAATTTCATGGAAAAAATGAGCATGAAATAATTTTAGAGAGGATCTGCAGGCTGGGCTTCAGGAGCTACCATCCAGTAGCAATGTTTGGCACTTTTTACAGGGGTAAAACGACACGTGGCACACCAATACCTGACAAACGAAAGGAAGTGAGACCTACCAGCCCTACGCTGCATTCAGAATTTCAGTACAAGTAGGGGCTTGATTCTGACAAAGGTATCTCAGGAAAGAAAGAATAGTGATGTTGATGTACAGAAAACTTCCGTGTACTTTGTAATCCACACAGCCTTTGAGAAGAAAGAGCACTCCTTTAGATTTATCACCAAAAGTCACAAGAAGTCCATACGATTTACAAAATTACTTTGTTCCGGAAAGATAAAAGAGAAGAGCTCTAAGAACATCTAGCGTGTGTAGCTTAGTCTCTGCATGAGAGTCACAAGGAAAAATACAACCGAGTGAACAGGAAAAAATTCAGCTCCACAGCAGCTGCCTGAAGAGAATACGGCACGAGGAGAACGTCCAGGCTGAATTTCCCCAGGGTGAGCTTACCAAAATCACTGCTTTAGAAAAAGAGGATGCAGTGAACATTGATTCAAAGGTAGGAAGATTATATTCAAATCCTAAGAACGAGCAGTTGCTCTTCTAGCATAGATGCATGACTCAGGCCTTTTGAAAAACTCAGTACCATGGGGAGGAAAAACATTAGCCGGTTCTCACCTGGTAGATGATACTGGAATAACGAAGCCAAATTCTTTCTAAGAGAGTTGAAAGTCTCCTTCAAGGACAAGTGAAAGGCACTTGGAATAGATATGTCTAAGGGATTGCAAAAGAAAAAGCTTCCACTTTGTCTGGTACCTCTTTCAAGTAGATTTTTCTGCTCTGGGTCAAGATATGCTGAAGAGCTACTGGAAAGCTTCAATCCACAAAACTTAAAAAGTCCATTAGATACAAGGCCACATTTTTGTTTTACATTTCTCAGCTCCATGAAATGATGTCTTGGAGATTCAGAAACACAATTAATGTGACTTAAGAGACTTTGAAATGGACCACACATGCAGGAAAGGAAGGTCTGCCCTCAGACACAGGACTGGAAGAGTGCCTACACTTGATGTCTTTCCAATAAGGTATTCATAGAGGTGGTTCACAGTATAAGCAGTAGGATTTGAGAAATGGTGCCAGAACAAAAAGCAAAAATGCCCTGCGAGACAGATGGCTGGCTTACAGCTTTTCTATGAAGCCAGAGATGCCTAAGATCCTCAATCTGAAGAGTTCATGTAAGTGTCATAACCATGGCTGTAGGTGCCAGCTGCCAGAGTCCTTAATCCTTCTGCATTGTTTCAAAGGTCTTTTCCTCAAGGCAGAACTACCAGTGCTTTGGAAGGACTTCACCATGACCAAGTTATACCTTGCAAGTGGCAGCTAGACTGATTTGACCTCATCATGAGTGTGGAAGCTTGGGAGCACAAGGTGTTGCAAGAAGCTCCTTGTTGATGTTCTTCAATAAGATTGAATTTACATTGGAAAATGTCTTTTGAGGAAATTATGGTTCTTGGTGATGGACAGTAGAGCACTGCCCTCACCTAAGCTCTAAGGAGTGAGTCATGGTAGAGTGATTTCTCCTGAAGGCTCCTTAGGCAACAAAACAGTCTGTCTGTGCAAATATCCCCAGGATCTGCTATGAAGAGTGGCTGAAAAACTTCCAAGACAGGGAAATGCAAAAAACGTGCACAGGGGTGGAGGGAGGATGGTATCCCTGTCATTTTAGATACTAAAGAGCTTCCTAAACTATCTTCATGGAGGTAACATATATGACATGGGACAAAAAGCGTCTTATACCTTTCCAAACAGCAGCTGGAGATGGGGTAAGGATATTCTAGAGCATCTAAAATATGAGTAGGCTACCAAATTACTCTTTGGCTCCTTATATGCACTCAAGTACTTGTCAAGACTCTCAGAGAGACAGGAAGGTTAGGACTGTACTCGTAGTCCTGTCCGTTGATCATCAACAAGGTGTTTAATATCAGCAGATTTAACTGGTATATGGAAGGAAGAGATCAGCAAGTTGAGAACTGTAAAACAACCTGTGGGATTCAACGACACTGCAGATATCCAAAACTCAGTTAATCTATTAAGACACACGGGATCTTGAAACGCTGCTGGCTGAGCCAGGCATGTTGAGGCTGAAGTCCTCGTGGTCAGAGCATGCAGTTCCCCAGTGCTCTACGGGATCCACTGCTTTTTGAAAGGTCACAGATGCAACACAACTTTGAAGGTGCTCAGGAAAACAAGACACCAGATGACCATTAGCACTCTGTGTGGTGGCTATATTTGAGGACTCTGATACTATTGAGGAGGACCAAGGAAGTCAAAGGCATTTTGACTACTAATAATTTCACATTTGCTTTTGCAGTATGAGATTTCCCTAAACAAAAGCCCTTCTTAAGCCCTTTGGGCTGAGTTTTTGACTACCTGGTATTTCAAGGAGAATTTTAGACACAAACATCTACAAACAAATTCTTGGGGAAGGCACGGTGAACTGTTACTCTTTGTACATGTTTACGTTCTATCCTACTTGTAGATAAGAAACAAAATAAAAAAAAAATAAATACTCTTGAGTAAACAGAAAAGCTTGTCATGCCCAGACCCTAAAAATATCCAGCCCAGCTTTTGAACTTGGATTCTCCTACCTTTTCATAAAAGAGAAATACGAAGGAATTGAGGAATTGAAATTTTAGGTTCTAGTTATTTTTGAGCTATGTGAGTACCACCATTTTGATTGCGAGGAATGAATTATACTTGCTTTAATGAAAAATGCACTTAAAAGCTCCGAAAGAGAAGAACTTATTTTACTCAGATTAAATAACAACAGGAAAAACAGTATTTTCAGCGGAGAGAACACATGGAGGATCCAGCCCTAGAAGAGTAACAATGTAAAAGAAGATGGTTTGGAATGGTATAATTATGACTAATTATAGTATTTAATTTATAAAACATAATAAGATTGACCATAGTGAGACTTCACTCATTCTTGTCTGCGTTTTTCCACGAATTTTAAAGCACAAACAGAAATCTAGTTGATACACTGAGTAATACAATCTGCTACCCATATACACGCACATGCCAGATGGTGGAGCAATATAAACTACTGGAGAGGCAGTGGCACGAGAGGCATTGCTGAAATGTCAGATCACAGACTACCAGGACAGAGAAGGAGAAAATAAGTCCTAATGGAGTGAAAGACCTTTAGTTTCTCCTGGAACAAGCATATTGCTTCTGCATGCCTTCATAAAGTTTAGATTCGTCTAGTTACCTTCACTACATAATTTACAACTACAACTTTCAGAACTAGCATCACATGAATTTTGCATTTTACAGAAAAAGAAAAAAAAAAAAAGATGAAAACCTTCATAAGACTTTCCTTCCATACTTTATTCTTGTGTCTAAGGAACAACCATAAAGGATCTAGTAACAAATATCGACCTCTATGAACTCTAGAAGCTGTACTGATCATTAAAAGACTCTACCAGATGTAGAACACCTGCATGATGATGCTCATTTTTCACTTGGCATGTCTGCTCCTCACCCAGTGCTAGTTACACTGCTTCCATCACCATCAGTGATACAGGGCTGGATCTCCCTAAGCAAGAAATCCCAGTTAAATGAAACGTTTTGGCTGTCTTGCAGAGTTCAGAGATGACTCATTCAGCAGATTCCTTTATAGGAAACCATTTTGCAGAACTCACGTTCTATAATAAATAAACCCAAAAGTATTCCTGAATTACTCCTGTTCCCTAGAAAACACACACCCAAGTTGCCTGCTGAGCCAGAGCATTACAGAGACAGGACAGAAGTGGCCCCACCTGACAGCGTAGGTCATGCGGTCGGGTCGGATGGCTCTCAGGATGCACAGGCGCTGCAGAGCTGACTTGTTCTTCCATTCCTGGGGGAACTTCTCCTTTTCAGGACACTCAGATTCAACAAATTTCTTCCACCGTTTCGCAGACCCCTCAATATCTCGATCCAGGTTTCTGAATTCCTCCATGGATGAGAGAGCCTGGAAAAAATCAAGGAAGATCTTCAGAAGAACAATCCTACATGCCTTTGGACCATTTTTCTACCATTACCGACTGCTCATGTTTTGCTCCAACAGAAGTGTCCTAGCTGGAGTCTGGGAACCACAACCAGAAACCCACCAGGATCAGACTTTGTCCCTTCTCCTTTCTCCAACTCTGTTGTCAGCACACTGTCACAGGAGCAGGACTCAACACGGGCCATTTGCAAGGCCACAGGAAAATGCACCTGGGGACAGTTCCACACTTGTGGAAGGTACACGCTCAGAGTTTTTTGCCCCGTGCATTTTCTGAACTGAAATGTGTCTCAAGGCTGCCCATGTTACATCAGCTCTAGAACCACGCTGCACCTGGCCCAGCCTTCCCTGATGGTCTCACCCACACCCCTGCAAAGACCTTCCCCAGCCAGTGAAGCCACACATGGCATCCATACCTTCTCCCCTGCAGCACAGTCGCTGTCACATGGGAGTTTGGAAGTGACAATACAGGAAAGGATGAAAGAATTTGGCATCATCCACAATGCAGTTCTCTGTAACCCAAAGAAGGAAGAAACCTGCTCTCCTGTTTTGAAACCAGAACTCAGAAGGGTGACAGGCACTTGATACCGTCAGCTATTCCAGAAATGCCTGATTTGGGTGGGAGCTGGAAATTCTGAGCCCACATCTGGCAGGAGAGCGCGTTGCTGGCACTCCGTGAGCTGCAAGTCTGCAAACAGCCTCCTTCCTGCTCCACCAGACACGGAGAGAACTGTGCAGCCAAACAGCTGGAACGTTGTGCTTTTGCATCCAGGGTGCTCAGCACCCACAGCTAAACTCAGGCTTGCCGTGCTCACCAAAACTGCTTTTCAAAGTGATGTCACTTGCCAAATGCACACCAAGATTAAGTTCTCAGTGCTACCAGTCTGTAGCAGAAGCAGGTAGCTGAAGAATGCCCCAAAGTACAGCTGAGCGAGGCAGTAAATAAATGGTAATTGCCATGAAAATGTAGCTAGATTTTTTTTGCTAGAAAGTGGCAACTATAAATGTTATGCAGAGAAGTAAAGAATCCAAATTATCTTTCATACAAGTGGTGGCAAAACATATTGCACAGCTTGTAAGGTTCTTCTGGATTTCAAGCAAAATTCTCGCTGAAACAAACATCTTCAGAGCGTTTTGCATAATCTGAAGCTGTAAGCAGTTGAATATGAAGTGGGAAAGACAAGTGAAGTATAAAAGACAGTGAATGAGCTATTTTCTAAGGAAACAGAAGGACATACTCAGAGCGAAGCAGAAGCCTCTTGATGGGCAGAGGTGTTCTGCACCATTAATGCTCCAGCTCACATCCCATACAGCTCCGCTGCGGAAAGCAACTGAGAAAGCTCCTTGAAAAATGCTGGTGTCACACCTCGTTCAGATCAACTGAAAAAACACGCACTGACCAAAGGGCTTTAAAAGTCATGCGAATGCCCTGACAGAAGTGCTGAGAGATTGCCTTGAATATGAAGCTGTTGCAAATGAGGCAGAAGACACTGAAGGCCGCCCTGCTCTAAAAACTGCAGGGAAGCCGTGCTTTCCCTCTGGAAAGGCTTCCCAATGAGAAGACAAGAGCAATGTAAAAGTTTATCTTTTCTAAAGGAATTGTAGACTCATAGAATGGTTTGGGTTGGAAGCGACCTGAAAGATCACCTAGTTCCAACCCCCCTGCCATGGGCAGGGACACCCTCCACTACACCAGGTTGCCCAAAGCCTCATCCAACCTGGCCTTGAACACCTTCAGGGATGGGGCAGCTACAACTTCTCTGGGCAACCTGTTCCAGTGCCTCACCACCCTCAGAGGGAAGAATTTCTTCCTTAGATCTAATCGAAATCTCCCCTCTTCCAGTTTAAATCCATTGCCCCTTGTCCTGTCACTACACACTCTTGCAAAAAGTCTTTCTCCAGCTTTATTCTAGCCCCTTTAGGCACTGGAAGGCTGCTGGAAGGTCTCCCTGGAGCCTTCTCTTCTCCGGACTGAACAGCCCCAAATCTCTCAGCCTGTCTCCAGAGCAGAGGTGCTCCAGCCCTCGGATCATCTTCGTGGCCTCCTCTGGACCCGCTCCAGCAGGTCCATGTCCTTCTGATATTGGGGGGGCCCGGAACTGAATGCGGTACTCCAGGTGGAGTCCAGGTAGATGACATCAGTTGCTCTTCCCTTACCCACCAATGCTCTAACTCCATCATAGGCGGCCACCAAATTGGTCGGGCAGGATTTGCCCTTAGTGAAGCAATGTTGGCTGTCACAAATCACATCCTTTATTTCCATGTGCCTTAGCACAGTTTCCAAGAGGATCTGCTCCATAATCTTGTCATGCACAGAGGTGAGACTGACTGGCCTGTGGTTCCTTGGGTCTTCCTTTTTTCCCTTTTAAAAATGGGGGCTGTATTTCCCCTTTGCCAGGTGGGGGGAACTTCACCAGACTCCCACAACTTCTCAAATACGATGAATACTGACTTGGCATCTTCATCCATCAGTTCCCTCATGACCCGTGGATGCATCTCGTCAGATCCCATGGACTCGTGCACCTTCAGGTTCCTTAGATGGTCTTGAATCTGATCTTCTTCTACAGTGGGCGGTTCTTCATTCTCCCAGTCCCTGCCTTTGCCTTCTGTGACTTGGGCAGTGCAGCTGGAGCTCTTGGCAGTGAAAACTGAGGTAAAAAAAATCGTTGAGCACCTCAGTCTTCTCTGTATTGCAGGTAATCAGGTCTTCTGTTTCCTTCTGGAGAGGGTCCACGTTTTCCTGACTCCTCCTTTTATCACTGACATATCTATAGAAGTTTTTCTTGTTGCCGTTGATGTCCCTGGCCAGATTTAACTCTATCAGGGCTTTGGCTTTCCTAACGTGGTCCCTGGCTGCTCGGACAATTTCTCTTTATTCCAGGCTACTTGTCCTTGCTTCCACCTTCTGTAGGCTTCCTTTTTGTGTTTGATTTTGTCCAGGAGCTCCTTGTTCATTCATGCAGGTGCCTCCTGGAGTTTGTGCCTGACTTCCTCTTTGTTGGGATGCACCACTCTTGAGCTTGGAGGAAGAAATCCTTGAATATTATCCAGCTGTCTTGGAAGCCCTCTTCCCTCCAGGGCTTCATAGAATCATACTCTACCAAGCAGATCTCTGAAGAGAGTCTGCTCTCCTGAAATCAGGCTAGTGAGCTCATTCTGCTCCCTTCTCGCCACCCTAAGGATCTTAAACTCCACTATTTCATGATCACCACAGCAAAGTTTGCCCTTGAGCTTCACATTTCCCACCAGCCTCTCCTCTGGTTGCTCTATCACTTGGAAAAGGAATTTCTAATCAATGCTTTCCAGGAACCTCCTGGATTGCTTCTGCCCTGCTGTGTTGTCCCTCCAGCAGACATCGGGGTGGCTGAAGTCCCCCATGAGGACCAGGGCTCATGAACGTAAGGCTGCTCCTATCTGTCTACAGAGGACTTCATCCTCTTAGTCTTTCTGGTTCGGTGGCCTGTAGCAGACCCTCACTATAATGTCCCCTGTCCCTGCTCTCCCTTTAATCCTGACCTATAAGCTCTCAGTCAGCTCCTCATCCACCCCCACTCAGAGCTCCATGCACTCCAGCTCATCATTGACATAGAGGGTGACATCTCCTCCCCATCTCCCCTGCCTGTGCTTCCTACAGAGCCTGTATCCTTCCTTTCCAAAACTCCAGTCATAGGAGCCATCCCACCACATCTCCATGGTGGAGATAAATAATAGACTGAATTTAGTTAGAAGCTGTACTTCAACACCGAGTGCAAACTAGGGGAAGAAAGGAGTCAGAAAAAGGGGCTTCTTATGACAAATGAGTTCATGCTTCTAGCAGGGGAATGCCTGTAGATGACAGAGAGAAAGCAGCTGTGAAGCCATTCCCAGTGACTCAGGAGCGTTCATTGACTCAGGACATTCATTGACCATACACCCACAGCATCACAGAAGCAATGGTTGGAAAAAAACTTCTGGAGGTGTCTAGTCCAACTGTGTGCTCAGACTAGGACTATAGCCTGGATCAGGTCAGTCATGGCTTTGTCTACCAAAATGATGACCTCTAAAATGAAGCTCTCTCAGCCCCTCTGGGTGTCCTGTTGTAGAGCTGCACAATCCTCCTGGCAGAGATATATTTTTTTTTAATATGTTCAAGCTCAATCTCTCTAACTGCAATTTCTCACGGTTGATCCTTATTGTGTTCACTGCCGATAACTAGGAGTTTGGCTCTGTTGTCATCTTGTAGCTGGACAAACCCTTTCACCTTTTCCCACAGATCATGTGCTCTAGGATGAGAATTAGAGCTATAGGCAGGGAAGTGTTTGTAGATACAACTATAAACACGACTCCAACCAATTAAGCCTTGCTGAAAGTCACAATTTCACCAATATTGCCACAAAAGACACAGATAAGAGCAGAGTGCTTGCAATACCTACAGCACAGACCGACTCGATTTGGCACTGACCATCTCAAAGCCAAACTCTCAGGGATCGTGAGGATTTCATGAAGAAAACTGTGAGCAAAGTAGTGATTCAACAGAAGTTGTTTCCACATATGGATTAGCACTAACGTGGAGAAATGTCAGCAACAGAAGTACTTGCTACAAAATCAGTGCCACATCCTACTTTCTATGGAAATCTAGAAACCGGAGCACAGAGCATGAGAAACTGAACTTCACAGGAACAATGCCATATATTCTGATCCACCAAAACCTTGTCCTTGCAGCAATAAAGATATTTGATGCACCTCTCATAGCTGAACACAATACAATGGCAAATGTTGAATTCAGTGGATTCATCAGCGCAAGTGCTTATATAAAACATTTTAACACTCTTGACTTTTGAAGTGTCTAACTTAAAACACCACTTCAGAACTTTGGCTGCTGCTGCTTCGAGAAGTCTCTTGGTGATGTTAACACGGGAGACTCTGAAAAATTGCTTTCTTCTTATTAAATGACAGACACGTAATCAGAGACGACAGTCTCTCTCTCC